CGCTGGAGCTGGTGCAATTTCAATCACTTTTTGATGTCGTCTTTGAACTGAGCAGTCACGCTCGTACAGATGTACCTGATTGCCGTACTTGTCACCTGAACAACTTCATCAAACCTCAAATTTTAAGAGGCTCTTTTTTCCACAGCCAGTTCTCAAAAACAAGTGTATACCTTGCAGAAACATTGAAATTTTTTTGTATTAGTCAACTACATTAGTTAAACGTTATCTAGTATTGCTCTAAAGCTGTTGTTATTGAAGCCAACAACTTCTTGGTAATTACCAAATATCTGAACTTCAACATGTCTCGGGCGCTCAACAAATTTCTCAACAAATAAGGATCCGTCTCCAAATGAAGCTTGTGCCTCAGAGAAAGCCCTTTGGAAAGCAGTTTGCACCTTGAATAAAACTAGTAATTAATATTTTCCACAATATGCCCAGTGGATGAACAGACGGTCAGAACTCACGTCTTCTTCTTTATTGACTCGACGCATACCGCGGCCGCCGCCGCCAAATGCGGCCTTAAGGATGACAGGACATCCATACTGTTTGACAAATTCAATTGCTTGGGCAGCATTGGTAATAGGTCCCGGAGTGCCAGGAACTATTTGAACACCAGCTTCAATTGCAGCTTCCCTAGCAGCAACCTGAAAGCATCTGCAGTGTTTCCTTCCTGTAATAAGGCGAAAGTCATATATGTTGAAATTACAAAAAATTTTTCTAAAAAATTAAGTATATCTATCACTTGTAAATTATGTAATTTGTCACACTGTATCAGTGCCGAAAATATTTAAGGGAAAAACCTTATCACCCATTCGGGCCATAATGTCTGATCTAGGTCCGATAAATGCAATACCCGCATCTTCACAAGCCTTAGCAAAGTCAGCTCTTTCAGATAGGAAACCGTATCCCGGATGAATAGCGTCTACTTCATTCTGTAGATGTTAACTGCTTTACTATGCTTTACATTTCTGAATATTTAGCCTGTCACTAATATTCAACAACACATTACAGTGTCAGAGGTATATACTATTTTGTTGCAAATGTGAGCTGAAAAACTTACTTCACGAGCAATTTCAATGATGTTTGGAATAGCTAAGTACGCATCAACTGGAGGTAAACCTTTACCTACAAGGTAGGCTTCATCGGCTTTTAATCGATGAACCGAATATTTGTCCT